TGTGTTAAGTCATTCTAATAGTACATCCTTCTGTATGGAAGAAGGGACTTCAGACCATGTCCGTTAGACCAAGAACTAACGGACCTGTGTCAGGAGACAAACTCTCAATGGGAAGTGTGTAGATTGTACTGTATTTGCAGCCACTTATTTTCACCAAGGCTGGTGGTTGTTGGGCTGACTCTCAACTTAGATTAAATGTAAGTTAGAACAATAGTTAAGTTGTGTGGCCTTTTTTTTTTATATATATATATATATATATATATATATATATAATATATATATCTTGCAACTTTAATTTAAGATGCAAGGAATCATGAGTTACAAGATTCCTGTCTAAGCTTCTACCAACTGAGTGATTTCAATACCAGCATTATGCCAACTAAACAACTTAAACTGGCCTTCTAAATGGCTTCCCTAATTCCTTGTCTACATGACTGACCTTTCACACTTGCTAGCCTACTGAGTTATAGCAAATGAAGAGCAATGCTGGGAGTGAAATGAACTGATAGAGAACAAGGGAGATGATGTGGTGGTAGAGACTTCTTCAGACTGTTTCTCTTTCCTTTTCCAGGGTCCTGTTGTATCTGGGCTCCATATTTATCAGCCTTCTCTTTCTCGTTGTGAATTTAACTTGTGCAATGCTTATCCATGGAGATGTCCCAGAGAGTCGGCTGAGATGGACAGTATTTGTTCGGGCACTAGTCAATGACAGTCTCTTCATTCTTTGTGCCATTTCATTAGCTTGTTGTATGTGCAAACTTGCAAAAATGTCATCGGCAAACGTCTACCTCGAGTCAAAGGTAGGTAAATGCTCTCTAAACTGCACTGAAATGATTTACTTCAGTCCATGGGGGTGCAAGTCCAAGACCATGACCCCATCATGCTAGATGCTCTGCAAACACAGAACAAAAGGATGGTCCTAGCCTGGAGCTAGTAACTCTTTTCAGTTTGGGTTCTTCAGTTTGTGTTTGTGCTTGCAAGAGAAGATCGTTATAACTCACAGATACTGGACATTTTTTGCATTGAGTCTCTTAAACCACTTGTTTCAGTACAGAACCTAGATCTGGTACTAATGGTGTGTTGCTGTCTGACACCAAAGTGACTTAATGTCGAGGCATTTGATAGTAACTGCAGTCCTCTGCTAATGTGATACCCATAAACCAGATCCACTAGCAACCCAGTCTAGCAATAAAACTCTGGTGGTCTGTTGTAAGCTGGCTTTCTCCTACGTCACTTGTGTCAGAAGCAGTATTCCACTCCATGACATGTAGCATCTCCTTATGGGCTAACTGCACCTGGTGTGGGGTTCCCTCTCTCCCTGCCTTTTCCAGAGTAGACCAAAGGATGTATAGACGCACCCACGTTCCATCAGCTGGGAGCACTGCGCATAGGCAGCCTGTTAGCTTCACTGGCCCTTCAGGATCAGGGAGACGCTCTCCTTTCCTCACCTGGCCGTGACAGTCCCTCAGGTGGTGGAAATGTCAGGAACTGAGAAGGGTGCAACATGCAGAAGCACCTACCCCAAGTACTGGGCTCTTCTGTAGATCTAGAATCTGTTCTGGGCCAGGCTTGGTCTCTCTCCATTGCAGGAGCCCTGGACTCTTGTTACTTTTGGAGCCAGAATTCCAATCCCATGCTGATAGCCTGATGAAAGGCAGCATTGCCTCTGCTGCAGGTGGGGCTAGAGGACTATCTCTGTTTTGCCCATGGTGACCATGCTCTGTCCAGGATCTGCAAAGCCCCTGTCATGGAGACTGACTCAAACAAGGCGGGGCAGCATTCGCCCCCTCGTCAAAGAAGGGATGAGGATGTTGCTGGGCCTGAATACTAGTGATCAGGAATTGGCAGCTCCTGTGTGTGGCCAAATTGGGAGCCTGGGCTCCTGTAGCTCAACAAAGCTACTCTGCCCAAGGCAATGACTCTTACGTCTGAGTCGCTTTGCTAGATCCATGTATACATTATGGGCTGGTAGGAGACGCTTCCCCCTCCTTGGGATTATGGACAGCGACCACTTTGAGCTTTCCTGCACATGGTCTGCTGTGTGGCAGACAGTGACCTAACAGGCTTTAAACTACTGCCCCAGTAAAATGCCAGCCTTTCTCCTCTGCCTTAGGCGTTTCTGCTGCCTGGTCTGAACTTGCATAGGAGAAGGGGGATCTGACCCCCCCTCTACCTCCTGCAGAGTCCATGATTCGGGGACCTTGCCCCATATTTGTCTAATGGGCTCAGCACACTGAAGGCACTACGTAGACTGGGTGGTGTAGCCTGGTATAGTTTATCTTGAGTAGCGTATGTAGTTCCTGATGGCTTCCCATTTTCTCCCCCAAAAACTGCCCATGTGTATCTTCCTGAGATGAGTGAACTGTCAAGGGGGCAGGCGCTAAAGAGCCCAAGTTTATTTGGGGCCAGTTAAACTGCCAGAAGTTTCTCCAGTCCTCGAAAACGGCCTTGTGCTGCAAACAAGGAAAAGGTGGAACTAAAACTCTAGCTTCTGGCTGCACATTCTGGGTCTCAACGACACGTTTGGCAAGTCACTTTTGTCTGGGGGGGGAATGGACACTGGCGTTTCAGCAAGTTGCAATATCTGACCGTGAGGGCTCCGTGCTGCTGGTTTTGGCTCTGCAGCACGATCAGGCAGGAGTCACAGTTGCATGAACCTGAATTTAAATAGCCTTCAGAGATGTACTGACTTCCTCTGCACAGGATTGGTTTCCTTTGCCCTGCAAGCGTGTTCTGAAATCTGAGAAGTTGCTGCTTCTGGAAGTAGAATTTGTCCTCCACTGACATTCATATTCTCTCTCTCCTCTTGCCACCCCACAGCTCCGTGCTGTGGCAATTGCTCCTCATCAGTAGTATACCAAGGCTTCTCTTACTCGAAGAACAACTTCACAAAAGGCTGTTGCTATATCAAAACTCCAGCCCTCTCTGCCACGTGTGCTGTACTCACCAACCAATGTAATACTGGGGCTTTCACACGGATTGCTGTTGACTAATCACTGGGCTTCACGCCTCAAGTTCGTGGCACCATAAATGAAGACCAAACCCAACCTGTATTTAGCTTATAACTAAGCTATAGCTGTCCAGCCAGGTAGTCTGTATAATTGTCTGCTTGCAAAAAATAACGGCTATGCAACTGGGACCCACTACTGGAATAATCCTCCCTGTGGTTCCATTACTTGGTTGGCAAGGTTCCACTTCTCTTCCTCAAGGTCGGTAAGAAACAGCCATGTGACACTGGATGATTGCAGTCAACTCACCGCCAGCTCAGAATGAGGTTCTTTACGCTAGCTTTAAATATTTTAGTGAGGGCATAGTTATGTGTCGATGTTCTGGGTCCGATCATGCATGCATGCATGCACGACTTGCTGTGCATAAAATTACAATTTTATGGGAAGATTTGTGTAACAGCCTATTCGATTTAACCTATCTCGCTTCCTCCCCTGTTCTTAGGGCACATCTGTCTGCCAGGCCATTCTTGTCGGTTCAGTAGTTGTTCTTCTGTACTCTTCAAGGGCTTGCTATAATCTGGTAGCAGTGGCCATATCTCCAGAGAATGTTCCTAGTCCATTTAATTATGGCTGGGACAACCTTTCGGATAAGGTAACTAATTATATTAACGGGTGGGCGTTGGAGGGTGGTGGGGGTGTCTCAAATCCAGAACATGGCTACTGAGGAGAAAAATCAATGTTCCGGGTGTGTGGGATCTCACTAAAGATGCTATAGCAGTGTTCTAAAAAGTTCTCCTATTCCAGTTCCTGCAACTCACTGTAAGCAGTCAGTTCTAATAGGAATGTAATGCTTAATATGACACATCCGCTATCTACAACTAGACCTGTCTATGGAGGAGCTTGACCCTGAAGACTCAAAGGCGGCCCAGGTAACTCACACCTGATGCTAATACATTAAAAGAGCTGCCGTATTTGGGGAAATATGACTGTCATCCCATCGCTACTTTCTTAGGCTTCTCCTTTAATTTGGGGGGTTACTTGTGACAAGTGCTTCTAAATGTTAGATCTCTGGTGGCAACTACCATACCTTCCTACTCCACGTACCTGCCCCTAACATGTTACTAGCCATAACAGTAAGATGCAGCGAATGGGATTTGCTTGCCAAGTATCTAAATACTGACCAGATGCACGAGACTAAACATCAGTGAGATCTTAATTGGACCCCAAACTGCACCCTCTTAATGGCGAGTGCACACCTGTATTGCTGGTGTAATGGCACGATAGTCTGTGCTGCAATATAGACCGTTCGGTAGGTCAGTCTAGATCCTGAGCATCTGTGACCAGCCAGGGTTGTCTGAAACCACGGTGGAGATGTGTAGAGCACATCTGTCTGTCGTCATACCCTCTGCCCTAGAGGCAATGGTGGTGATGGGATACTGGCTACCACATCCCTGTATACATGGGGTGTGAGAGCCTCCCATGTACCACCCTATAATCCAGAAACATTCTATAAAATGTCTGACTTGACATGGAACACTTGCTCTTATTGGTGCGGGGTCCACTTTCTACACTAAGGAACTAGCCCAAACCCCCCCCAGAAAACTGAGTAGGCTTGACATGGAGGCTCTCAGCTGAAATCTGTAGCAGCTGGTATTGGCCACTCAGTGGCAGAATACTGCCCTAGCTGGACCACTGATCTGAGCCAGTCTGGGAACTGCGGTGCACAATGCTAATCCGAAATCTTTCCAGATTTGAAATCCAGAAGCGCTTCCGTGCACTGCATCCTAGTCTTTCTTGGAATCCCATCACTCTGGGGTAAATCTCTGTGGTTGTGTGTGTTTTGGGCAGGGGGAAGAGTGCTGTTTTTAAAAACAAAACCCTCGAGGTTTAAACATAACCCCTGTGTTTGCAGATGCATGCAGAAGAAGTCAGTGGTGAAGAATATGTGGTGTTTGGAGTAGTCCTCTTCCTCTGGGAGCTTGTGCCAACCAGTTTTGTGGTGCTGTTCTTCCGGGCTCAGAGGCTAACTCAGAACTTGGTAGGATATGAACTAATTGCTCTAGGGTTAAGATCTTTTTCAGGTTGCTCTTTGCACATAAAACTTGTCTGATTTACTCTAGCTAAATAGCTCTTTTTCCACTACATAATCTCTAGAAACAATTGGGTGCTTTTTTTTTAAACTTTTCCCCCTCCCTCTATCAACAGACACCAGCTGGCATGATAAACAGTCATAGTTACAGCTCCAGAGCATACTTCTTTGACAATCCAAGGCGATACGACAGTGACGATGACTTGCCAAGACTTGGTGCGCGAGAAGGAGGAAGGTAGGTTGGGAGCTGTTCGGATATTCAGAATCGCCATTCGACGCTCGCGTGTGAGCAGCAAACAGTGTCTACAGAGCAGCCAATTCCTGCTCTTCTTTTAAGCCAAAGAATCTTTCCTAGCCAAGGGGCCTAGAACCGGTAGACCAGATTAATAAGGCAGTTAATAACGTAAGCTTTGGCTTGCACTAAGGACCTGAGATCTGAACTTACCCTGGTGGAAATCATGGACTTTGGCTACAGGTGTTAAACATCATTGAAAATGAGGCCACTCTTGTATGCTTAAGGTCAGAGAAAAGAAGTCTGTTAAAATGCATAGAGGTTTACAGGCATGTGTACCTGTAAACTAAAAACTGCTGATTTCCTGGTGATGACTTGCAAGCTGCAGAAAGTCCTGGGTAAAGTGGGTAGGTGTGTTTGGTTTTTTTCCCATTGATTGGTTTGTGTGGTGTGTGTTTGTGGTGGTGGTTTTTTTTTTTTTTGCCTGGAGTAACAATTATTGCTGTATCACAATCTTGAGACACAAGATATATGAAAACTTAGTGGGGCTGTAGTGTTCTCCTCAGGCTGAGGTCCAGGCATTTCTCTGAACTCATCTTGGTGTGATGGGTGCTCTAGAAATACTAACATTCCTAGAAATGACGAGCGAACTTGTGTATATTGGCTTTATTTTAGGGCTGTCAATGAATTGCAGTTAACTCACACGATTAACTCAAAAATTAATCGCACTGATAACAATAGAATACCACTTGAAAAACATCCAAAAATATTTAATAAATTTCTACATTTTCAATATTGATTTTAATTACAACACAGAATACAGTGCACAGTGCTCATCTTAGTATTTTTTTATTACGAATGTATGTACTGTAAAAATGAGAGGGAATATTTTTCAATTAACCTCATACAAGTACTGAAGTGCAATCTCTGTCGAAAATCTGCAGTTTGGTTACATAACTGCACTCAAAAACAAAACAATGTAAAACTTTAGAGCCTCCACATCCACTCAGGCCTACTTCTTAGTCTGCCAATCGCTAAGACAAACAAGTTTGTTTACATTGACGGGAGATATTGCTGCCTGCTTCTTATTTACAAGGTCACCTGAAAGTGAGAATAGGCGTTCACATGGCACTTTTGTAGCCGGCATTGCAAGATATTTACATGCCAGATATGCTAAACTTTCATATGCCCCTTCATTCTTCAGCCACCATTCCAGAGGACATGCTGATGATGTGGTGGGTTTTTGGTTTTGTTTGTGTTTTTGTTTTTTTTAAATGAGCATCAATTAAACTTGTGACTGTACTCCTTGGGTAGAGAATTGTATGTCTCCTGCTCTTTCACCTGCATTCTGCATATATTTCATGTTATAGCAGTCTTGGATGATGACCCAGCACATGTTGGCTTTAAGAACACTTCCACAACAGATTTGACCAAATGCAAAGAAGGTACCGATGTAGCTATTTTTAGAAATCTCTCAGCATTCAACCCAAGGTTTAAGAATCTGAAGTACCTTGCAAAATCCACTTGGTGTGGAGCATGCTTTCAGAAGTCTTAAAAGAGCAACGCTCTGCAGCAACTACAGAATCTGAACCACCAAAAAAGAAAATCAACCTTCTGCTGGTAGCATCTGAGTCAGATGCTGAAAATGAACATACGTCGGTCCACTCTGCTTTGGATTGTTATCAAGCAGAACCCATCATCAGTATGGACACATGCTCTGGAATGGTGGTTGAAGATGAAGGGACGTATGACTCTTTAGTGCATCTGGCACGTAAATATCTTGCAACGCCGACTACAACAGTGCCATGCGAACGCCTGTTCTCACTTTCAGGTGATGTAAACAAGAAGCAGGCAGCATTATTGCCTGAAAATTGTAACCAACCTTGTTTGTCTGAGTGATTTGGCTGGCCAAGAAGTAGGACTGAGTGGACTTGTAGGCTCTAAAGTTTTACATGATTTATTTTTTGAATGCAGTTTTTTGTACCTATTTCTACATTTGTAAGTTCAACTTTCATGATAAAGGTATTGTATTACAGTACTTGTATGAGATGAGTTGAAAATTTGTTTTTTACAGTGCAGATATTTGTAATAAAAGTGAGCACTGTACACTTTGTATTCTGTGTAATTGACATTAATAGAGTTTAATATGTAGCAAACATCCAAAAATATTGAAAATGGTATTCTCTTGTTTAACAGCACGATTAATGGCATGATTCATTTTTTTAAATCACTTGACAGCTGCTTTGGGGGGGGGGGGGGGGAGGGAATGCTCAGCTTATGACATCCATTGGAAAGGGCCTGATCTCTTTTAGGTGCTGGACACCCACTCTCTGAAAATTAAGGGCCCTTTAAGATGTCAAATTGAGCATCAAAATCACTGGTCACCTCTGAAAAGGTTGAAGCTTTGGACAAAGCTTCCTATCTGAAGCCACTTTCAACTTCTGTTTTTGTATTAAAACTCCCACGCTAGACAGCACAATCCTGGGATAACGCTAGACTCCCGTCTCTAACCAATAGTTCCCATTTCTTCTCTCCAAAGCTTGGCTACCCCTCCGTGCTCCGGCTGGTATGGCACTCTGACTGGGAGCGATAGCTATGCGGTTATTCCCTATCTGAGTGGACCTAAGCCAGACACCGCCCCGCTGCTCTTCACGTGTAGTGATTTGGAAGCTAACAATCACCATACCTTATACTCCACGCCGCAGAACTGAAGAGCCCGCCAAGATTCGCTTCTCTTGGGGCGGCTTTCGTGGGAGTCTGATCATTTTCCAAACATCTAACTTCATCTGCACAAACATTCCATTCTCTCTTGCAGCTGTAAACCAGAACCTGGAGACTTAGGCTGCGTGTGGTATGTAAAACTGTTACTCATGGTACTGTGTAGCAAAGGGAAGGTGAAAAATCTCTGGGAGCTTTTTGGGAGGGAGGGAGAGGTGCGAGGGGAGTGGGGGGGGAGGGGAGTCCAGTCTTCTCAAGACGGTCGCTGGCAGCTAGAAGCACCAGAGCTGACTCACTAGACCAACATCAAATGCGTATTTGCACTTTTTATCTGCACGTTCTGAAGGAACACCTCACACTCCGACTTCCCTTTGGAACAGCCCGTGTCTGTTCCATGTTCATCTTTTTAATTGCACATCCATAGCTGGGAGAGGTGCGGTCGTCCTGCGAAGACGGGCGCGTCGATACGTAGGCCGTGCTGCACTCTGCGACCTGATCCGCTCCAAGGACAAAAGCACCCTCTTCAGAGAAACTGCGTGCGATTTACACTAATGAAGAAAGTTACCTAATGTATAATGTGCCATATTCACACAAGACAAATGTAGTGTCTCTTTGCTGGGGATGTGGGCTTACTCTAACTCGGTCCTCGGGGCAGCGCACTACTAAAATACTCTTAGTTGGACTGTGGGTTAAAGCAAACCTTCAAGCATGGGTGTTGCAAAGGCCTTTTAAAAGCCTGAGCTCAATGGCTTCTGCTAGCACGAAGGTCACTGAACAGTAACCAGCTCTGCTCTTTTAAACAAAAAAATGCCACCTCGAGCGAGCAGAATGAGTGTGGTTACCATTAAGCTTGTAGAGAGAACATGTGGCAATGAGGCATGCTCCTTGCAAGGTGGCTTCTTCAAGCAAACCTAGCAGTCAGTCCACATAAGAGTGGCGTGAGCATTTTATTTTGGCCCAAACCCATACATAACACAGCTTCTTTAATACTAGGATCTGTTCACTGCATTCCCTAGTGGAGTCAGTGCTTAATCTGCCTGGGGGAGAATAGCAATTTTATATTTAACCTGACTGAATATAAACTAGAGGTCATTCTTAGAACATGAAACTTCTCTTCGCTTTCACGTTATTCCCTCCCCCTCCCCCCCCTTTCTTTGACCGATTTCGCTTTCTTTGACTGAAATCATGAAGCCTGCAGTGTGGTACCTGCATGCCACTATTTGGGACTGCCTCAAAACTTCTAGTTCTCCTGTCTCCTCAGACTGTGTCTGAGGAATAAGTATCCCATGACATTCCACTGAATGTACTGTAAAAGTAGTGCAATGTGTCCTGAACTGGGGGGGGGTCCCCACGTTGAAGTATTAGATAAATTTTGGCATCTCATTGCAGGGTGTGCACTGGAGGGTGGGTCTAGTGAGTGAGAAGCATTTAATGGAATGTGTAGTTTTTTAACATCCAGGATTTTATTCTGGCAGGATGTTGGCCTTTAAATCACTTTTTTAACTGTGTCCAAAAGCACCCTATTCAAAATTGGAAAGCGAGACAGGGCCGTAAGGATGCACAGGTGTTTGGATTAGGCTCTAAAGTTAGCTCTTATTTACACTGTTGGTTTACACGGATAGTAGCTCCTCCAAGGAAAAGCATGCCTCTATGGCAAAGCTGCTCTGGCCAGTGTAGGGCAGCTGCTATCTCCAGCCTGTAGTAGACTTCCCCTAGATCTCTCCACCTTAGCATTCCTTTAGAAGCTTAAACTGGAAACGGTTGGCATACATTGCTGATGGCAGGAGCTGGTCCTGCCGGTCAACTGCATGCTCTTTCCAAGGGTGTGCTTTGTTTTTAAACTTGAATTAAGATTTGATGTTAGAGTAAAACTTCACTGAGGGACTGAACAGGACCACATAGTCTGTAGGACAGTGGGGAAGTGTCCCCACTAGACAAGTGGGGATACCGCTGGCACATGGAACATGGCTGAAGTGACTGTCTAGCCTTTAAAATGCTGATTCCCAGGCTCACAGCTATATGGTGGGTGTGACACACACACACACACACTCTCTCTCTCTCTCTCTCCCTCCCTCCCTCCCTCCAAGAATAAACTCTTGGTTCTCAAAGAAGGTAGTGGAGACTTGGGAGCAGGCCTAGGATCTGCGTGGGAAAGAACATTTGAGCACACCATGGGCCTATCTACATCCTTTCTGTTACAGAGCTACTTCTGAACCCCCTCTCTCTGTATAACCCCCCCACCCAGAAACTGAGCAGCTGGCTTGAGGTGTAGGGGGTACTCTAATGTCCTCATTTTACTCTCTTGCTCACTGGTCCAAAACCAAGGCACCCCGTGCTCTTTCCTCTAAAGGCTCGGAGACTATTTTTGACAGATCACTGGATCCTTCTCGCTCTAACACTTGAGCTGAAAGGACTTTTATTTTAGCTACCATTGTACGACCCTTTTCCTTGCCTAGGGTGGGATTCCGAAACCAGTTGCTCTGTCTTGATCGCCGCTTGACTTATGGTGAAACTAGCTAGGGACCTGAACTCCAGCCGCCGCCCTTCTCTTCCCCTCCCATAAGTCACCAAAGACGCAAAGTTCAGCCACTGGCCCCTGTTCTTGCTTTAATAATAATAATAATAATAATAATAAAATAAAAACAAGTCCAAAGCACTAGGAGCACTTTAAGTTTCCTTTGGAGGGAAGGAGTGTTGCGCAAAAAAAAAAAAGGGCTACTGGCTCATTGTTCATATTGCACTGACGCACAGAACGACAATATGATCTTCCTCTCATTAGGGTCACAGATCAGGGCCGTGAGTCTCGTTGCTTAAGTATGTACTAGTGAGTGACTAGCAAATGTTTTGGGTTTTATTCCTTTGTATGGATGGCCATTAATTTCCGAACTCCGACAGCTCAGATTGGGGCCGGTCTTGTGTTTTACCGAAGTAATTTATAGCTGACGTGTACAATGACTTTTATATGCATAGTTGCCTTTCATTCCATTTTTTTTTTTTTGTGTAATGGTTTAACTGTTTCTCTGCTTCGTAGCCAGTTGAGAGCTGGTTGCAACAGGAAGCTGTGGCCAATGAATGTACCTATTTGTTGTTGTTCACTAAACTGTAACCAAGCACTACTATGTTGAATAAAAAATTCTTCTGTGCTATTTATGGGCATCTGGGCTGAGTTCTGCCAACTGGGGTCTCTGCATCACTTGTCCACTGATCAGTGGACTCTACCCCAGTTTAAAATATTTAAAGCCACGTTATTTCTCCTCTCTCTCTGTTCTTCCGCCCCCCCCTCCCCCTTGCTGCATTCCTGCACAGAGATCCAGCTTCCACTCACTTGCTAAAGGGGCACTCAGAGCCTTTAGATGAGTGCCCCTTTAGCAAGTGAATGGAAGCTGGATCTCTGTGCAGGAATGCAGCAATAGGGGGAGTGTGTGTGTGTGTGTGTGTGTGTGTGTGTGTGTGTGTAAGAGGAATCTTCTGGCTTGAAGAACAAACTGAGGAAAGAACAGGAGTACTTGTGGCATCTTCTATATATAATCTCAATATATCTCCTCAATATATGTTCCATTCTATATGCATCCGAAGAAGTGAGCTGTAGCCCACGAAAGCTTATGCTCTAATACATTTGTTAGTCTCTAAGGTGCCACAAGTACTCCTGTTTTTGCAGATACAGACTAACACGGCTGCTACTCTGAAAACTGAGGAAAGTGATACTACTATCTGGGTCTCAGCCTCCTTAACAAGCATTCCCCAGGGCACCCACCATCCACATCTTGTAGGGTAACTGTCCTAAGGTGGATCAGCTGGAAGGGTCAAGTGCCTCTTGATGCAGGAAAACCACAAGCATAAGATCTCTGCATAGCCCAGTCTGTAACTTGCCAATCCACGAGGTGACTCGGGGCATCTTAGTGCCTCTGTATCTGTCACAGGAGCAGTAGATGTGTGTGGCTGCAGCACGAAGCAGAATGAAGATGGGTGGGCAGGAGTGAGAGCCTGGCCTTCCTCAAGGGGAGGTGCAAACTACCCTTGACATAAAGAACAGGAGTACTTGTGGCACCTTAGAGACTAACAAATTTATTAGAGCATAAGCTTCGTGGGCTACAACCCACTTCTTCGGATGCATATAGACATATATATGCATATAGACCCTTGACATAGCTTCTCACCCCTCCTGCCCCCACCTTCTTATTCTGTCCTGCAACCCTCCATCTCTGTCCCTTGGAACGTAGGAGGAAAGGGCTCTAGCACTCCTCTCCCTAGTTCGTAAGCACGAGCTGTGATGTCGCTTGAATGGAGTTTTCCTTTACGGGGGAACATACTTCTGGCCCTTGTACCCAGCCTTGATTTTAACCCACCCTCTGCTGTAACAAAGCAGATGAGTAGGTGGAGGCTCTGGGCCCTGTAGCATGATGCACTTAAAACTCATTTTGGGGGGAGACAACATGCCAGGCATGACACAAACACACAGCCAGTAAAGGCTGGGGGGGGGGGCAGCACCTACTAGGCCAGTAACACACCCAAGGGGAGAGTGGACAAGGCACCCTAGGTATGTCTATCTGGCTTTGGGGGGAGAGGGGGAGACTCCATAAGGAGTTGTTTCAGGCAAATGTCCCTCTCCTGTCTCCTGCGAGGCTTAAAGGCCTTGCAGATCTTGCACTTAACCGCCTGATGGGCCTCTCCCAGACACAAAGACAGGAGTCGTGGGGGTCGCCTGTGGGCAGAGGCTTGCTGTAGGAGCTACAGGGTTTGAAGCCAGCCCGTCCCCCCCCCCCGCCCCCAACTGCTAAAGACTATACTTAACAACTAAACAGGACAATTAACTAACAATGGGTAACTATATACAAAGATAAGTAGAAGAGTTAGGGATTAGTGGAGCCCGTGTGAGCAAGAGACCACTGTTCCAACAACCATCACTGGGGGTAAGAAGTATCATAGGGGTAGCCGTGTTAGTCTGAATCTGTAAAAAGCAACAGAGGGTCCTATGGCACCTTTAAGAGTAACAGAAGTATTGGGAGCATAAGCTTTCGTGGGTAAGAACCTCACTTCTTCAGATGCAAGAAGAAGGAACTCAAGGGGGGTTGGGCCGGCAGGGTCGTATATAGAGCGCCATATCGGTGCTCCAGGGGGCTCCACAGCTGGCCCGACCGGTAGCTGCTAGGGAAAAGTTTCCGACATCCGCGCACGCACATCTAA